ACTAACCATTTTATAGTCAAAACCCCATTGTTGATGTCTAGTTAGACAAGCAACTCTGTACTCTATTTATTCTCAAAAAAGAATTTGGTTTACATTCCCATACTTGAAAACCTTTAACAATATATCTTCCCAGATTATATTAAGCAATGGATTTAACCAGCAATTAAAATAACCTTAATTTAAATTTAAACCTTCACGAGAATAGAATTAATTATTAAAAATATTACATAAGTTCGCAGGAAAAATGAAATTCAAGCCTCAGTTCCCAAGCAACAGTTACTGAAAATGGAACAAGTGTATACTTCATTTCCTTTTTTTATTTCTCCAGACACTTTCATTTCAGATTTCAAAGTCCAGATCTTTTTTTCAAATTTCAGAACACCGTATCATATTATTCCTCCGAAATTCACAAAACGGACCCTAAGAAACCAAGTAGGCTGGCTCGAAAAGCCAATATTAAATATGCACATCTTGCAAATCTTTAAAATTAGAAATATGATTTAAAAGAACTTTTTCAAGTTTAGTTCACCTAGAAATGATGTGAAAAACAAAGAGACAAAACATGAACTTAATACGCAAAATACTGTTGAACATAGATTACCTAAAAATAAGTTAAGTAAAAAGATTGCAATTTTGATCAAGATTCTCTCTAAAAAGATGCACATACTTTTCTTTAAACGTGTTCAGGTATGAGGAGTCCCAAAATTTCTTTTCTTTCTTCTAAAAAAATCTTTTTTTTCAAAAGCTGCAAATCTCTATCTTTTTTCGTACTCAGAAACTGCACTTTTTTTTTCAGAAACACCCAAAATGTAGCTGTGCAGGCCTGGTATAAGCAAAGTTTAAAATGCAGGAGTGTTTGCTTTAGGGTCTAAAAATCAGATTTAAAACTCCTAATATGTTCTTACAAACTACACCCTTCCTTATCACTTAGAATAAAATCAAATGCAGCTTGTTTAAAAACAAATCAGTGTCCTTTTTGTTTCTTTTTCAGATTAAAGTGCAGTTTTTTTCATCCAAGACCCAAGGGTTTCATAGATCTAAGTGCTAAGAAGCATTTTCACACCCCCACACTTAGTCTATGCACTGTCCTCAAGGCAAGTTATGATGATTGAGTTAATGAAAGCTTAAAGAAAAATGATCCTAAACTAATGCAAAGGTCATGCAAAGAAAATAAAAGAAAAAAACTAAATATAAAAGAGAACAGAGAAGTGACTAAATGATGTACTCAAGCTTAGGAAAAGGCTATGGATAAATAAGGACAGATTATAGAGGGGAATATATGATGAGATTTGAGTATAGAATGGTGAAGATAGTATGGCTGTTTGGAAAAGGTGATATGGCAGAATGAAGGGCAGGAGAAAAGAAATATTATGGAGTGGTTTTTGATGAAGAAATGAAGTGTTTAAATGGGGGAAAGGGGATGGACGAAATTGGGAGAGAAAGAAGGGAGTTTTGTGGTGGTTTTCTGGTTGAATAAGGATAAACCAAATAATGAATAAGAGATAAACACACTCTTATTTTATTTGGGGCTATTTCTTTTCACACAATAATATTCACTACTATTATATGAAATAGACTCCTAACACACACTCAAAAGTAGCCAACTTTA